TCGTTTGGTTTCGTCAGGGAATCTTTTTTTTTTTTTTTGCTATTTCACGAGAGGTTTATGGTTCGCTGGCCAGACAGATCGTTTCTACCCTGCCCTGGGCGTCGCGACGTCGGCGTCGTCTGGGACCCGAGATGCCTCCCAGCGCCTCTTTCCCCCCGCCGCGCCGCTCCGCGCCGCCCCGCGTCGCGACGTGAGGCGACGCCCGGGCGCGCGATATTAATTTCGGGCGATGCCGCCGCCTGTAAAAATTTTGTGCGCGCTAAAAACTTTCTCTCAAACAACTTGTTAATTTCTTAACGAGAGGCAATTTCCGGGAGTTCTTATCAGCCTCTTCGTGACGTGAGGGACGTAAACGGCGAGATGGGGAGGGGGGGGGAGAGCGGAAATATCAACCTGGCGTTAGTTGAGCGGCCGAAGGCTCATGAACTGTGAACCGAAGCTGCTTAACAGATAATCAGATAATTCTTTTAAAATAAACGACGAGGAATAGAAATCAAACTATTTTTTAGTGAGTCTGCGACAATTAAGATATTTAACTTCTGTAAAGCTATAAACATTTTGGGACATTTGACACTTATCACTAGTAAATACTTCCACTTTGTGTTGATTTAATGATGTGATTGTGATGATTTAATGTTGTACCTAATTATACACGTAGTATTATAATATATCTGAAACTGTTAAATGCCGCTTATAACTTCGATGTTGATGTGACTATAAATAAATTAATTAAAAAGAAGATTTCGTCATCACGGATTCCTTGATATCTAGAATTTGATTAATTCTCAGTTCCCTCTTCTACGATGAGGTGTACTACGGTGTAGCATATACAGTATGTTAGATGGTGGTAGAGTATGGAGGAAGCACAATTGTTATTTTTTTTCAATTATTTTCCTTATTTGGGTTCAACAGTTTCAAGAAAAGGAGGAACATTATCAGTAAAACAAAATCGTATATGCCGTATGATTAAACTATAATCTATGTCCACCACAACTCTCTTCCACCTGTTAAAATTTATTGAAAAAATGTACAATAAATTATCTTTATTTACCAAGATGGCTCCGGTCATCCATTGCGTTCACTGCAGTGCCTCTGACAGGGACATCTTAGGGTTCGAGTTCCAACTGTAGCAAGATTTTCGACACTAGCTGCAATGGCTAGGTCGAATTCGTTGTCTGTCTGGGGGAGAACTGTGGCGGTCAGCTTTACTACCGAAATTCTGATGGCATTACAAACGAGATTGGCGAGAGACGAGGATAAGCAATATACGTTTAATTTTTTTCTCTTCTTACGGAAAATGAGAAAAGTTGCTCATCAGTACACTGAGAGAAATGTAGGAGAATTTACTAAACATGTGTATTAAATTCAATTATTCCTGTAGTTGTATTCGCTAAACATGATTTAGTTTCGTTTAGTAAATTAGACAATTCAAAATTGTAAGTGAATGAACAAAGAAAATTGTCAGTGGTATTAAACTTGTTTCGTAGATAAAATTATTCGGTAAGATCTACGTTTCATGACGTCACACTACTAAACACTGTTTAGTAAGCGCGCGTTCTCAGCCATCTGACTAATCTGACTTCAAACGACTTTTTCAGGAGAATGTTGAAAGAATTCTGTAAATCATGTGACCAACATCAAAAGGAATATTTATTGCATAAAAGAAACATCATTCTTTACTGTATTCTATAACACTTCTTCGCCAGTTGCTTGCTAACCTTTGGCAGGTTGAAAAGGTAAATATCTCTATGTTGCTTGTTGCAATGGCTTCATCTAATCTCAAGCGCCTCAATTCGTAACATGTAGATTCGACTCTTCTTCATAAGTTTGAAGCGAAATGAGGAGCAAAGTGTCATGAAGTTGTATCGTGCCAGGGATGTTTTGTCGTTTCAGAAAATGATGCTTCTACCATCAGTTTTATAATATTGAATTTCACTTTGATTCAATAGGATGTACGTTTTATGGTCAAATGACTCGTTTTTATCTGATACAGTTTATGGAATTTGATTCAATGAATGATAAACCGTAGCGTGTAAATATGTCATAACGTGTTACTATGTTCGATTTCATATACACAGAAACTCTCTAATAGGTCAATTTATCCCATAATTCAAGCAGTTTATGTTCCTCGAATCGAGATATCGAGGTTCATCTGTCAATCGGTGTTCTTCACACGAAAGGAAGAGGTCGGAACCGGACAGATAAAATATGAAGTGTGTAGTTTAGTCGATGCACATCTGAAACGGTGTGTTTCAATAAGTGCGCTCCATATTGTTGACTGCACGCGATTTCGTTTCAAATTCGAATCCCAGATAATTATAACAAGAGTGTAGTAGAATCGCATACACTCACTGTTCTGCCTTGGTAATTTTTCGGCATTTCAAAGACGGAAAACTGAACAAATTGTTCTTTGAAGTTTATGCAGTCATTGGTGCTAGTCATATGTATACGCGCGAAGTGGGGACCCGCTTAGGTGGCTCAGAGTGTCATCTGATGTCACAACAATGCCTCTGTCCCGGCGATCCTAGGGTTCGAGTCCCAAGAATGGACGCATTTTCTTTTCGACACTAGTTAGATAGCTAGGTGGAATTCAGCCGCTGTCTGGAAGAGAATTCCAGCGAGCGGTTGCTCTGATCGATAGTTTCCCGTGGTTTCTCCGATCAGCACACGCTGAATGCTTGAGCAGTACCCTAACAAACGGGCTACGGACAGTGCGCAATCTTTCTTACCTCTTCCTTGTCCGATCCTCACCCCTTACACACACACTAACATGTACTACACTACCACAAATTCTGGGAGACCGTTCGCGAGCCTAGTTACTAGTGTCGGCTGGGGCTATGCTCTGCAAAAGGGAGATACCTGGATAGGGAAGTCGACGTGTTGGTCGGTGTAGGATCTTACCATTTAGCAGGGAAAGATCACCGCCACCTCCTGAGGAAAAACATGGACTGTACTTATGAGACTAATAACATTAGGTATTGAGTCGTCTGGAAACAAAATATAATCAATCTGAAAATGAGAGTACCTGAATATTCGCTTGGTATTAAATATTTTGTAGAATAAAATCCCAATGAGTATCAATAAACGTATTAAGGGTTTTTTCGAGGTCCGCCAGGATTTGGAAACACAAGCAGTTTCAAGTCGCATACGAACGCCATTCCGAGGACAATGAGAGGAGAGTGAACGTTAGACCACAGAACGAATTGCGATATATTTAAAGAAAAATTTCATATATCTTAGGAACTAAAAATATAATTATTTAGCAACACAACAAATACGTTCTGCCAGTTTGTGATAAATGAGTTACTTTCAGAAGCATAGTAATGTCTTATACATTTTGATCATTTTATGTACTAGCGTTCCTTTCCGCGGGGACTCAGATAGCATTATCCTCATTTTAAAAAACTAGTTCAACATTTACAGGGTTCCTCATATTGCACAACTGTTATCTACGTTAAATGAACTCGTAGGCTTCCGCGGCCTGAGTCATGTGGGTGATCTGGGCTGTCCGGGTGACGCCGCGTCGAAGGCTGAGTTGCCGACGTTTCGACCATCCTGTCGTGGTCTTCCTCAGCATACCAGCCCTGAGGAAGGCCACGACAGGATGGTCGAAAGTCAGCAACTCAGTCTTCGACGCGGCGTCACCCGGACAGCCCAGATCACCCAGCTGTTATCTACATCGTCTGATACTAAAATAAAATTGCGAATTGTTTATGAACTTGTGTGACTGTACGAATAAGTCAGAGTTTCCTTCAAGCGATGAGGGATTTCGATTTTTTTTAACATACGTTCAGCGTTCAAAGGCGAAACTGTCACTAAGACTTAAGAAATATTCTTATAATAAAAATGTTGAAGACGAAACAGTAACTCCGTACCTGAACAAATATTTAGGAAAACTACTTCATTCGGCCTATCATTGACATCCACCCCCGTTCGGTGGTATGCTGTTAAATAACGGTGAACCACTAAGAGTTTCAAGCGAAGAGGAATGGGAAGCGAGGATAATGCATGCCGGGCGGCGGGAAGTTGTGGGTCCCAAGGTGTTCAGGACGATGGGAATCCTGGGCGGCAGAGAGGGAAGGAAGTTGTTGGGTGCGGGAAGAGGAGATGAGGACGACGAGACGTCGCCGGGCAGCGATGGCAGGGGAGCGATGGGGAATCGTAGGCAGGAGCAGTTGTGTTGGGCGATTAATCGTGGGCGGTGGGTAATCGAGGACGCGGGAGGGAAGAAGTTGGGGGAAAGCACAGCTCGCGGGCAACGGAGAGTCGAGTCGGAGGAGCTGAAGAGTCGAGTCGGAGGAGCTGAAGAGTCGAGTCGTAGGAGCTGAAGTGTCGAGTCGGAGGAGACGAAGAGACTAGTAGAGGGAGGAGAGAGAGTCGAGTCAGGAGTAAAGGAGTGTCGAGTCGAGGGTGTGGGAATCGAATCGGGGGAAAAAAAGAGTCGTGTCGAGGGTGAGGGAGTCAAATCGGGGGAAAGAATGAGTCGAGTCGGGCAGGTTCGAGTCGTGAGTCGCGGACGACAGAATGGAATCAGGGATGACAGGGATTCGAGTCGGGAATGAAGGAGAGACGAATCGGGGGCGGCGGTGAGTCGAGTCGGGAGGGAGGGACAGTTGAGGTAGGGGTGAGGGACAGTCAAGTCGGGGATGAAGGAGGGTCAAGTCGTGAGTGGCGGGGAGTCGAGTCAGGGGTGAGGGAGTCTGAGTAGTCTGGGGTGAGGGTGACTGAGTCTAGTACACACAGTCGAATCGGGGGCGGCGGAGAGTCAGAGTCGGGGATGAGGGAGAGTCGAGTAGACAGAGTTGAATCGGGGATGTCGGGGAGTCAGAGTCGGAGGGAGGAGTGGAGTTGGGAATGATAGGCGTATTAAACGCCATCGCTGAGGCTCCCGCGGTGTCGTGGAGCAGCAGTGGGCGTCGGGGCAGGCGCGGAGGGGGCGTGGCCGGGGCTATCGTGTGCCGGGATCGCGGGCGAGTGGCGCTGGCCGCATCGGCCGGCGGATGCGCCTCACGCGATGCGTGCTCTCACAAAAAGGCGGCGCAGTTGAGCGCAGCGACGCTCCGACGGCGAAGGTGAGTCCCCTGCCATCGCACCCTTTTAACTTCACCGTTGCAATCGTGTGGCATCCGAAGTTCCCGAAATCTCACCGTATTTAAATATTCCCCAGTACGTTCTCGCCTTCGAACTTACATAGCAAAGAGAAGTATTGTAAGTCTGCGGCAGAAAGCGGCGATTTTTCGACAGAAAACTTTGCATTGTGGGACTGGTGTCGAAGAAAGGGATAAATCTTGTTCCTTTATGTAGTATGTTACTTCCTCTACTGCGTTGTGTTGTCAAAAAACACGACTTGTAGGTCCTTGATATCTAAAAATCGATTGACGGTTAAACTTGTGTCCGTCTCACTGCTGTCTGTCCATCTGTCCGTAGGTCTGTGCTGTGTTCAACCTATACCGATCAGACGACTTTCTCCAAAATTGGTATTCCTCGATCAATCCGGACGAATTCGACTCTATGCGAATTTTAAACTGATATTTGGATGTTTTGGGGAATTGTACTTAGTATAAAGACTCCTCCTTCTTTTCTCAAAAATAACTCCTAATTTTTTATTAAACTATTTTATCCAATAGCCTAAAGGACGCTTAAAAACTGTCACATAAGGTCTTTGAAGACAGATCTGGATAAGATCTTTTACAATTTTTCTAAACTATGAGCCGTTTTCTTGTATTGTCTTGTGAGTTACAGTCAATTTTTAAACAATTTTTTTAAAAGTCTGCAAATTTTTCTTTAATTTTTTCCCTGGTATCTAGCAAAGGAAAAAATGTGCTAGTTTCATTTTCAGCAAAATCTCTGTATTTAAGAAAATTGCAAAAAATTAACATTACAAAAGTACGTTTTTGATAGAGATTATTTTCTTTAAATGTCTGTTTTAAAAGTTATCTCTTTGAAGAAAGTCATGTATATTTTTAAACAAACTTGTAATTCACGCATAACTTTACTTGAATTTAATGCAATTTATATTTTCTTTCTTAAAAACAGCTTGAATTTTTGTCGTTCAATTTGTTCTGTGATTAGATTTACATTAGATTCAAATGTAAATTATCAACTTTCTTAAAGCATTAGATTAGCCTTGTGGATGGTTTTGTGGAGATTACATGCTTAGCTTGTGAACTCGAAGGGCCCGATTTCGAATTTTGGCACGAGGAAGAATTTTTGCTAGTTGTTAACACTTTTTTAGGTTTATATAGTATATAATATTGGGTAGCAGTTACAAATAATGCGAGGAAGAATGCATTGTTGTTGCATTACTACTTCTCAATTTTACCTCTGGCATTTAGCCCCGCATGGGTTTTAATATGAAATCCGTTTGACCACCATGCCATAGGAGATGACAATTATCCCACCGTCCTCTCCTATGGACGGGAAAGAAATAAAATGAATTGTCCATTTTAGGGAAAAATTTAATATATTTTCGACAAATGGTTTCTTCTCTATGAATAACTTTCGTAAACAAATATTTGTGTAAAAGTTTGAAATATTCAAATTTGAAATTAAAAATAACATAATATTTAACCTTGCCAGTTGGTTGTGCAACACTCATTTAAAGAGAATGTGATTATTCGTTTAAAATTATTCATACGATTTTTCTTGTAATTTACCCAGAAAAATACGAGTCAAGTAAAAGTCATTTTTCCATGCGTTCATCTAACTTCCGCCGCTTCATTTTGCTTTACTTAGAGTTAATTTCTGATAATCAAAGACAATTCTCTGTGTTTTAAAGAAAAAGTTTCCCGTCGGCAACTGAAAGAGGAAAATAAAAAAGGTAGAGCGAGAGAGTAAATTTCTTTCCAAAAAAGTCGGGAAGTTAGTATTAGCTTTTTAACATTTCCAGAAAACCGATCTCTTTATTCGTTGGGCGTACTAATTTGGATTTATTGAGAAGCGTCTAAACGGCCTGGATGCAGTTGCTTATAAATCAGATATATTTGATTTTAAACTCAGATTTTTTACACTTTATTAAAAGGACTTTTTCTCCCACATGTATTCTGTCACCTATTATGCTAACTGACACATCTACTTTATTGACAACATTTTTGTAAAATAATTACTTCAAGAGTTCATTTCCAAATCTAGTGCTTCAAAGTTAGCAATATTCTCAGAAATCAGAAATACTAAAAACTTGGTAAACGGTATGCGAATTTTTTCGAAAGCTTACCAATTAGCCAACCAAATGGGGCTCTTCCAGCTAAACCTATTGAGATTTTACGAAGACGCACTTTTGTTCACTAGCTCTCCCTGAAACTAGATTTAAGCTATAATGATCATTTGGGTTGCATTGTATTAACAATGATTTCTGGCAGACTGCAAGCTTTGTTTTGCTTCTTTATAATTTAGTAATTTTTCAATATATTTGTTGAGTCGGGAAATTCTCTCTTTAAATGCTGTTCGTTCGTAGCAAGTTAATGGTAAATATACGGTTAATGAATAACATGATTTTCGAGTTCCAATATTCGTCTTTGAGTGAATTCTTCTTGAAACACAAAGGAAAACTCCGGCCACTGAGATACAAGTCAGTAGTACTTTTTGAGTTACGAATGCATTTTAGAGACGGTTCCTCCTTGTCAATTTCTTACGCATTAATATCTAATTTAATGCTACCGTTTCTCTTGAGCTATATAATAGACTATGCACAGCCATAAACAATATATCTGGTAGATCTCCCTGTGGCCTAAATAACTGAAATGAAAATACATTCAAACTACTATAGAAAATTCCTTTTCTTACATTTTATTTCTTTGTGTCAACAGTTGGGGAATAACATTCAGGAGTTCTTAGAAGATCCTAAGAAGAATGATGGAAAGCGATCTAAATCTACAGAGAACGGTGAGTTACTGTAAGACGTCTTTCTCCCCTTTATGATTAATGACGTTCGATTTTTATCGTAACATAAAACTCGTATCAAATAATCAATCTTTACATTTTTCCAACATTTCCAGAGGAGTAATCTAATTAACACTGACAACGTTACGATGTCCACCTCTGAGGCTTTCGCAAGTTTTTCCATTCTTTCCAACGAATATTTGGGCAGATTAACCACTACTAGGATCCTCAATTAATTAATCTTTCTACGTGTCCTCATTAATGAAGATGAACTAGTATTCTTTACACATTTTCAACTCTTCATATTGGCGGCCATTTCTTCAGTGTTACCTTATCAAGCCTGCACAAAATAATACTCGATTGGAAAAAGGCAGATTCTCTTCTAATCAGTCACCGACTTTGTCAGCCGAAAATGCATGACAATGTGTAATTTAAATTTATAAGAACTTTTAATTGTACGATCTACGTTCGGAAATTTAATAATTTTTAATATGTTTATAACATTACTGGTTAAAAAAAGGCCTCTGTTTTAAAATATTGTTTAAGGGACACAATGCGCATAAAGTAAAAAAAATCAAAAAAAAAGGACAATATGTCGATACATTGCAGTGCACAGAAGAATATAAACAGTGAATTATGACCCTTGCAACTAGAAATAATAGATATTTCCCAAATAAGTAAGTAAACAAATAATTTCGCAGCGTGGATATTAGACGCTAATCTACGCGCAGCGATGTCCTCATTGCAATGGTAGGCTGCTCCCCTTCTCGAAAACTGTCTACTCCCCACTACTTGCACTTTCGCCGTTCTCGCCGGCAGACGTTCAACTCTTAAGGCGGCTCCACACGTTTCGGAATTCGCCGAGCAGCGAGCTACTGCTCACCCACTTCGGAACAGCTAATGTGTTCCGCGATTATTTGCTTCCTTTGAAGTGATCTAAAGACTGACACGCGGTGGGTAGGGCGAATACCGCATGCCTGGCGCTCGGCGAATCGCAAGCAACTGGGGATTCGGCGAGCGGTTGCTCGGGATTCGCCGAACACCGCATGTGTGGAGCCGCCTTTAAGTGCAGAATGTCCGCAGAAGCGGGCGCTGTGCAGGCCTGCCTTAGAAGTTTGTAACATTTATTCTTAGTAACGTTTCTGATCTATATCACTGATCCCTCCATTAAAACTCCCCTATACTGTATGAGTGTGCGCAGATCCGGCCGAAGGCGAGTGCGCCCGCGCAGCGCCGCGCGCGCGCGCAAAAGCGCTGGCGCCGAGTGCGCGCCGCCGTCGCCGTCACGTCCGTCCTCAAGGACTACTGCGTCAACTCCTCCTTCCACGGGCTGCGCTTCGTCGCCGACAGCCAGCGCCACTGGACCGAGAGGCAAGTGCCGTTCTGCGCACGAGGGCTAACGCTTTTCCACGCCTACAAAACAAATGAATGTCAACAAGCAAACAACAAATGAAAGGCTACTAGAGGAAAGGAGTAAATAGGGGGCGGGTTTTGATGACCCAAAGCATTAGCAGAAATAATCAATAAAATATTCTTAAAATGATTTTAAAATGCCCTAAAAGCAAAGAAAAAGTGGGTAAAAAATTAGATCAAAACCACTCCAGATAAAAAAACTCAGGCTGTTGGTATGTTACTGATGTAATCGAGGCTTCTTCCTTTTGTTCAAGTGAACTCACCCTGAAAACTTTTGGTTTGGGCTGTTCTTTAAAAGAAAATCTCTGCCTTTATTTATAGCGAAATCGGCCGAACTGACTATGGCGTCGATAAACATTATAGGAACCATATATTACATAGTACTTACAGCGACTGAAATTACAATATATGAGCGAAGAAATCGAATAGGCTACAAGGAATTCTGAGTGAACATTTTTTGAACCTTGTAAATATTGTTTGAAGCAAGTACCATGAAAATGGTATTAAAATCGATTAAATCAGGGAAAACTGCAGTAAAATGATGTAAAAAGGTAAAAAAATGACTTATTAGTCAAAATGGAAGGAAAATTCAAAAAAATGACAAATAAAAATGGGTAATTTCGTTTCTTCATAACATAAATGAATTTCTATACTAAACGGCATTGTTCTAAAGTGAAAAGAAAAAATGACTCGGGATTGAGCGCGCAGTCGCTCGCTTCTCGGCGAAAGCCGAATGTGTGAAGCCGCCTTTAGACACTCTGATTAACGGGGTTGGAATGATTCTCGCCCTGAGACACCCACTTAGGTGGCAAAGGGCATCAACTGGATATCACACCAGTGCCTCCGACCGGTAGGTCTGCGGTTGGAGTCCTGTCGGACGACAGGATTGTCGCCCCCTGGCCACTAATTACTCGATCAGACCTTGTGAGGTGGCGTGTGTGGGCCCGTAGGGCGTTCTGGCTGGCGTGCTGCCTGCTGTCGTGGTACGGCTCCTACCTGCTGATCCGCGCCTCCTGGGACTCCTTCCAGAACAACGCCATCAGCTTCGCCGCGGAGACCAACTACATCGACTGGAACACAGAGTTCCCCACCGTCGCCGTCTGTGAGACGGACAACGACGACCGCATCGACTGGCTGCGCTCGCAGTTGTAAGTGCGGCCGCGCCCTCGCAGAGTTTGCACAAACACGAAGTCTGCGAGAAGACAACTCCGGTGGTAGGGGTAAAAGCGTCGGCAGCTAATCGGACTCGGCTTCAACGACATCCCTCGGTCAACAGGAGAACGTTGCAAGCCATTTTCGGTCAATAGCCAGCTGGCTCATGTGACTTCTTGGCTGTCCGGGTGATGCCGCGTCGTTGGCTGAGAGGCTGACGTTTCGCCTATCATGTACAACAAGCTCATGTATCAAGTCAGCGCCACACACACACACACACACACACACACACACACATATGTGTGTGTGTGACCAACTACATCGAAGACACACACACACACACACACACATATATATATGTGTGTGTGTGTGTGTGTAAATGGAATTGGTCAAGTACGTGTACGCGCGTCATTGGCCGAAAAACATCTGAGATAAGTTCTTTTAATCACTGCTTGATGCCGTTGAATCTAAGTGAGTTCGATTAGCTGCCGACATTTTTCGTACATACTCTCGTCATGCCTCCAATACAAGAGTTGAGTCTCCTTCCTAAAGACCTCGCGCGTAAAAGTTATTAGGCAACCCCCTGACCTATACCATTTCAAGAGTAAATAAGAGTTTTTGTTCCAAATGAAAAACGTTCCAAATTATGGCGGCAGTGTGCGTGTTAAATGTTCATAATGATTTTCGGAATTTTAGTAATATAGATCTAACTTTCAAATGTTCTCCAAGAGTTGCACACTAACTAATGATCTGTTTATGTAAAACCACCATTAATTTATCATTAAATATAATTATTATATATGCTACTTATATAATAAATAGATCATTAATATTGAGGGAATGTATATTTCTTGTTTCTCTCCGAAATGAATAATAATGTTTCAGATTAGGGTTCTTCATATTGTGCTAAACTAATTATCTAAAAAATATGTTAATTTCGACATAAAATATTTATAACTCGCCATTTAAGCGAATTTCATTACGAAGCTATATAATTTTTTCCGACATGTGTAAGAGGTAGTCTTTATGAAGGTTGAGAATACCTGATTGAGATAATTACATGGGAAAGAAAGAAAAATGAGATGAATCTGGGATTTGGAAATTAGTAGGGATACTGTAAACACTTATTGTGTAACGTACTGTTTTATTTCATACAATGTCACTTTTCACCTTCCAATACTGCGAGAACTTTATTGAATACTGACTATAAAAAAAAACACTTTCAGAGGGGACGACTTGGCCGGAATAATAACCGAAATGGAGTTTGGTGTATGCATCTGTTTATCGAATAAAGTTTTGCATGAATAAGTCGATTGCTAACAAATAAATACAAATATAATATTTCTTACGTCACTACAGAGGAAAAGTGCATTCTGCAACTATGCAAGTTGTTACCAACAATGTTTCCAGAACTAGAAGGTAAAAAATGTCATGTAAGTTTTAGTTCTTTGGTGCCTTATGTTGGAAAACATCGAAATGATTAACGTGAATGTTCTTCGCCATTAATAAGGTCATTTTCAAATTCGAAGTTTAAAAGGTGTTACGAGAGTTGTTTACTACGTACTAAACAGTAGTGAAGCAACTGGTCTGCCACAGAACCTAAACACTCAAAAAGCGACATAGCAAACAACATCCGTTCTAATAAGTTTCTTTTTCTTTTCCAAGTGAAAATTCTGACGAAAGAAACTACGACATCGACGAAGTGTACAAGGAGATAACGTACTTCCGGGGAGAAGGAAACTTTATCAAGAGCACCTGCTTTTCCCCAGACGGCGTCTTCGACGAGAACAGCGGTTGCCCCGTCAACAACTTCGTGGAAATCGCCAAAACAGTGAGTACGTCAGCTAACCTATAAGCTGCGAGTCTGGCAAGGATACATTCCGAGAGGTCCTTCTCCAATTTAGCTGAATTTTGGTTTTTACAGAAAGGAAACTTAAATAACCCGCGAGCGCGTAAATAAAACGAGCTCTCTGTAGAGACGGAGTGGCAGGTTGCAGCAGGGCGTTTTCCGTGATTTCTTCTTTCAATATCATGTGAATGCTGGAGTAGAACCATAACAAACGGGTCACGGATAGCATGTGATTTTTCCTTCCCATTCCTTGTCCTATCTTACACACATTTACAGGCAGTACACTACCACACACCGGGAGACCAGTCGGGAGCTTAAAACAGGGGTTCAAAATAGTTTCGGTATCGACACGTCTCGTTGAGAGTCGATGAAGATTAAGATGTCGACTTCAGGTCAATAGGCAAATATGTACTAGCGACTAATCGGCGTTATCAAGATGAAGATCCCATTGATTACAAAAATATTAATCGTGTTTATGATTAATGGTTTTCGGACACTGAGCTATAAAATGTCTAATAATAAATTACAAATTCGCTACTCTTCTTTCTTATTCAACGATCATCGTAAGAATGTTTAGAAAACGCAAGAAATTATAACAATGTGCTCTACCGCAGAAAAATAGTATCCGTATCATTCACGGTAGAAATATAATTGTCAGTTCTTGAAAACAACTTAACATAGATTGCATTTTGTAACCATTCCATAAGAAGAGAGATCGAAAAGTAAGCTAGTTGTCGCAACAGTGTCTTCTACTATTGGAAATGGAGGTATTTATACAAATATATGTATGCGAAACTGTTATCGGTAAATCGTTTATGTTTAAATTACGTGGTGGTAGCAGATATCTTGTGGTAATCCATGATATTGTAAAGGAAATAATCTCCACAAAAGTTTTAATAATTTTATTAATAATTTTCCAAAGTTAACTTTCGCGAAACCCTTTTCCCATCCTCAGTGGATCTCTAGCAAAATGGGGAAATGAAACATTAACATAAGTTGAACACAAAACGTGGGGGGGGGTGTACAGTGAATTTAGTGGAAAAACAAATAATATCATATAAATACAAATAGAAAGTACTTACTGCTTAAGCAACGTGGATCTCCCATGAATGTTCAGAAATGGTCAAAAAAATATAAAGTGACAAAACATGCTGGTTACGGGACACTTACGGGACTAACAGTCATAGCTGTTGACGCGTTCGGAAACACGAAATAATCAACAAATAAACCAAAGAGGTAAATATCAACATCACAGCTGCGCAACGGTGGTGAGATGATCCAATACCATTACCAAAATTTCTCTATATTTCATGGAGGAGTTTTGCATTTTTTCACATACATATTTGCTTCAAAATTTGTATAAGAGATTATTACTTAAAACTATCTTTCTTGCGGAAATAAGTCTGCATGACCTCTTAAGTTATTTACCTCCGAAATACACATTTTTTCGCGAAATGAAAAATCACGATTAATATACACTTTTTCAATTACTTCCTTTATGTTGTTATAATGATAATAATTATTATTATGTATAAAAATGGGGTTATATTTTCGTGGTAGTTTACCCGTTATGATAGGAAATGTATTAAAGAACATTTGTTATGTATTTTTGTCACGTACACTTTGTAATTGCATTATCACTAAACGTTTGCATTTTCCTACATGAAACAATGAAATCATCGATTAACTCTCTCGCCTTCGGATGCCGATTTCATCCCTTTCAAACGTTTGCATGCAGAACAGATGGAACACACCACATTTATTTCTTTTTCCTTTACAAACACATTCAAATCTCAGTCAAAAGGAGGAGAAGCTTCAGACGTCTTTCTCAGATCTTGCCATGCGAACAACTGCGGACAGCGCTCTAGCTGTGCATCTCTGGGCTCCCTGCGTCCAATGTCGGTCGATTCACGTCGAACCAATTTTCTTCTCGCGGGTTTTGTGGTGTGATCCCATTTTGTTTTCGTCTCATTCCATTGCTCCAGTACAACAATAGCATTCATTTGAAAATAATCATATTGAGGCATGCGAATGTGGGCAAAAAAATTGTTTTTAGGCAGCCACTAGAAAAAGAGGTTCTTTCAGTGTGGGCTTAAAGTGAGACGAAACTCAAATGTTAATATAAATATAATAAAATAATTATATTAATATAATAAATAATATATTAAAAAATAATTTCATCTCATCAGCTCTTCTCGTCCTTAATGTATTAATAAGTGATTTGTAAATTGAAATAAAATAAAGTCAGCAAGACTGTGTAAAAAGTAGTGTATGACCCACGTGGTAAAAGTGCATTTATTTTGCTCTTAGAACTGTGCCACTTGGCTTTCCGAGCTCGTGCGGAAACCTTTCCTACTTTCAAAATAAAATGTCAATTTCACTTCTTGCATCATAAATAACTATTTTATACTGATGAAAATCCATTGTAATTAATTAATAATGCATTTTACGATAAAGAAAAATTACGGATTTACATTTGTCTGATTAACATTTTTAAAATCATAAACAATATTAATGTTTACATTTATATAACAATTTTTTCAAATTACATTAATACAGCTGTGATAGCCAATTGGTTGGGAACACCTTTGCTAACGTGAGAGACCTAGGTTGTAACACCAGTGCTGTAATTTAATTCAGTATTTTATTTCATGTCCTATTTCTGATGATCGAACGGCTTCTCGAGACTATCCTCGAATACAAACCAAAGGGGAAACGATCCAGAGGCAGACCCCACACAAGATGGGAAGAGACTCTTGAGAGCGGAACGGGCCACTAGGCCCAAACCTTGTTGCTGATGATGATGATGATGATTTCTGATGATCGTATGTATCAGACTCCATCATATTAATTTATCGACCCCCTTCTAAATTTATTTGTATAATACGCAGGTGTACCCGTAGGTGCTCGCAAATGCAAAGGGAGAAAATACTGATTGTTTTCTTCGGCTAACCATACATAAGTATATGCTACCCAGAAGTCATGCATCTACGCTCTGGATTCTGCGCTGCGCGCTCTGTTGTAAGTCGTTGCTCTGCGCTCTGTGTTGTGGCAGTACCGCACGCCGTGCTCCTTGATGTTCGGCGAGTGCTCGTGGAACGGAGAGCCCTTCAAGTGCTGCGACCACTTCCGGCCGCTGCCCACCGAGATCGGCACGTGCTTCGCCTTCAACAGCGTGCAGACCGAGTGAGCACGCCCCCCCCCCGCCCACCGCACACACGCACTCGCAGACGGACGCGCGCACGGGCATGAGGAAGTGAGAGTGAGAACGGGAGCGGACGTGATAGTGATTCGATAATAAAACATCGATGCTGCCCAACATTAAATTTGTGATCAACAAAATTTAATTTTACAGTAACCGTGTGTATTAATTTATAATTCAAATTTAACCCAAAACAAATGTATAAACATATCTTCATGTGTGAAATACAAGAGGGAAGGGATAACAGGACATCTGGATCATTTCTGGGGAGAAATAGTCTGCTCAGTTAAGGTAGTTTGGCTCCAACACATACTGACAGTGCTACCATCAATTATTATTTAATGTTTCAACTTTTACAAAATTGTGATCACGGGAATTTTTCGTCCATGAACAAAACGTCGAAAACATAAAAACATCTAGCACAAAACAATATTAAAAACGTCAGCTGCAAAACATCGATGTTTTGAAAACATCGGCATCGATGTCGTTTCCCTATGACGATGTCGTCCCCGTTCGTGACAGGCACATCCACACCCGTATTTTTAGTTAAATTCTCACACTCACTTCTCACATGCTCTCACTGGTATTTTACACACTAAGTAGAGCAATGCTGAATAAAATAAATTAAAGGCCTCTAACAGTTATTCTGCCAACACCCAATACTTTCACGAACACGTCTCCGTTTTTTACGTTACGATTTCACGTTAATCTGTTTATACTTGCCTCCTTCTTAAAGCGAGGATATGTGAATAAACAAGGGACATTTTCTCCCTTATTTGTGTTTCTGGATATTTCATTTCAATTTTTTATAAAGTTCTATAATTTCTTTAAAAAGGTGCTTAATTTACAATGTTTTGACATAAATATATTAATTATTATTTGTTAACACCAATGGATGTGTGTAAATTTCACGCTAAACCTTGTGTTCCAGCGCTGTATGGACGATAAAAACTTTTTTTTTTAAATGTTCATTGATTGTCAGAAAAGAAAAAAGTATACTCGTACTTGTGATACATTTTTAATATTAATTGTGACAATCGTAATATTTATATATTTATATGTTTAAAACTTTGCAAACTTTTCTGTAGCGATATCGCATACACACCTAATTTTCGGCATGCATCATTGCTGCTAAACATTTAAGATATTTCAAAAAATTTCAAGCCATTCCTTAACCATTTTGATTCTTTTGACTTGCATGATTTATGCATATCTTCACTCAATTGTAGATATTTAAATGATGTCATCTACTGTAAAAAATCTGAGTAATTGTTGAATACTAACAGTAAGAGAAGGAAAAGTTTCAATATGCCGAGTATTCCGACTACATATTATTATTATTATTATTATTATTATTATTATTATTATTATTATTATTATTATTATTATTATATTATTATTAATATTATTATTACTTAAAATTAGTAAATAAGTCATATATCACCATGCACCACATTAGGATCTCAATATCAAACAGTTTAAAACATTTTTAGCTAGATTTTCACAAATTTAGATTAAGGGTAAAACATAGATGTGTGATTTCTTATTCCTGTAAATTGGCAACTTTTGTAGGTAAATGTTTCATCACTCACATTCCCGATTTGTCTAAAAATAACTCATTATTATAGAGTAAAAACAAGAAATTAGTCACATTTTCCATAGTAAAATTTACAATTGATGTATTTATTTTCAAGCAGAGGTCTTAAGTAGCGTCCAAAATATTTTTTGAAATTGCGTATGGAGCTTTAAATAACAAGTATGTGGCCACGATCTCTTCTTCCAGCTCTGGCCCCGTGAAACCGCTGAACACGCAGTCCAATAAGAAGACTGGGGCGGGCAAACTCATGACTCAAATAGCAGTGCCAACTACTGTAAGTACCTACACGCATCATTCCCATAATTTTCATATTTTCTGATATTTTTTAATTTTATTACTAGTGTCTCGTTGCATTCTACTACTTATATTTTTTCACTCTTCTTTTACTGATTTTTAAATTCATTGTAAGTCACTTTTCCCTCTTCAGTATCAAACAAGGAAATAAACATTCCAGGAAGTTTGCATTCTCACTATTATTTTTCTCTCCATCTCCTTTTCGTCTCTCATTCTTCTTTTTTATGCCTTTATTCTAGCCTTCTATTCTCTTTCAGACCTCACCTATTTGGATTTTAAAATGTGACATTCATTTGACTTTATTAGGAAAAATAATGTAGATATTAAAAATAACTTTTTTGAGGTCACAACTTCAGTCCTATGCGTATATTTTGTGTTTTAATACAGCGTATTTGTGATGATTGCTAATAGTGTTTAGAATTAGTTCAACATTTAGATAAAATTTGTTGGCAACCTTTTTTATAATTAGTTTCAATACACTATATCAAGTGATATTTCACTCTCAATACACCAATTTTTCTACATAAACTTTCAATGACATTTAAAATTATCATTAACTTTTCTGTCTATGGACTTTTCAATGTTGCCAGACTGTATTTGGCTCTTTATTTTAAAAAGAAAATTATTATAAAATAAATGTTTTATGTGTTAAAGTTTTAATTGTTTTCCAAAACGTTGCTATTACTAATATGTATCACATGCAATATATTGATATAAAGCATTTATTTTATAATAATTTTCTGTGTTAAAAATAAAGGGCCAAGTACAGTCTGACAAAATTTCAATCACTTTTATTAATAATTCCGAATGGCCGGTCTGCATTGCCGAGATTGCTAAGTGTGTAGCGTGTAGCAGACGTGACGTAGCGATCTCGGACCAAAGAATCGCGGATTCGTGTCCCGCCTCGGGCATGTCTGTATATGTGTTCATCCTTTCACCCCCTACCATCACAACATCATGTCATCTTCACAGTTTCCATTCCGTTAAATGCAATAATGATCGCTAATGGCCTAGATGTTGATGTGACCTTAGAGAAAAAAAATCCGTACTTTGTAAGTCATATACTCCGCGATATTTCACCATAATGACAATAAACATTCCATTGAAGGAAGAATTCTAAGTCTCCCCACTCAGTACCCCCTGCGAGTCGTTCTCCTTTTTCTTGCGCGCTAATAGCAACCGTCCACGTTTTGCGAAGTGGGAGGGGAATGTGCAGTCGCGGTAGCCTGACGGTAGAAGAGGGATGCGATCCGCCTAAGATAGTTTTCTCTGCAGTGGCTGGCAAGGCCTTTTGACGCTAATCGGTATGTAGTCCAGAACGTGATCATTAGTCCCGTAAAGATGTTGTGATGTACGTGGTTCCGCTTAAAATGCTACGAGAGTTACCAAAGAGGAAGGGTCAGAACTTAATATTTGAAAAATGAAGTATACGCTTGCAGGACTCCAGTTTGTATTCAGAAACTCTATACAGTACCATCGATCAATATTTGCATATTTTTATCTCCCCAGTAACCAATTATTTTCGCCGCCTTGTGAAGTTCTCAAACAATAAGGCAATTTTAGCTGCAATGGGTGAACGATCTAATTGAAAATAAAAAGGTAAACGTACATATTGGGCAACAGTACGGATGTAATTCATTTTGGGAATTACAGTTTTGCATTTGTGTAATACATATTTGCAATATATACATAAAATACTGTTAGATAAATAATAAAAATATGACGTTATGTAAATATAATTTCCATTTGGTAGCCACGCGTTACCCTCTTAACCTGGCTGTAGAGTATTGTGTTAAGCCTCCCATTCTTGTAGTCGTTCAGGACTTCATACATTTCACATTCTCCGTGAAAGCGGACCATTCAGGGTGAGCCAGGCTTGACAAATCTGCGACGCGCCAGTTGCAAAACTGCCGCGATCCATTGTGCAAAAAATTAAGGAGGTAGAACGTGGTAAAACTGTCACCTCTGCCAACTGATTCATTCAAATGAACAATAACACAATGTACACTGTGAAATAAATTGCGGCAATTTTACAATCGGCGTGTCGTGGCTTTTTAAATCCCGCCCTGCTAGTGAATGCGTCGCTTGTGGGCTGCGGATGGTTATGAATGAATATACCCGAATTTGGTATCTTCTGCTAAACAAATGGCATCACTCACAGGTGACGTAATATGAAGTCGTCAGGAAGAGAAATAAGGAATGATAAATTCTATTGAAGCATTATTAATTATTTTCTACATTTTACGAAATGAATGGTTTCTGTGGACATAGGGTACATAAGATTATTAAATATGTCTGATAAGCGTAGTATAGCGAGCTACACAGCTGTACGCATCGCAATTAGTTTGTCATACACCTCTTTTGTTAAATATCTTTTCATGTCAGCACATGTGATAACGTTCACGTCATAAACCCCATCTTTTGAGAAACCCTATTCTAACGAGTAACTCACCAATGCGCATGTGTATCTTGACTCGCAACTGTGCATTATTTCTCCAGTGCTTGGTACCCTTACAATAAACTGTTTAGACGGGGTAATCCCACGGTTGGGCTCTCAATACTTTCGTTATCATTCTACCGTCGATTCTTGGATGGTGTCGTTGTCGAATGATACTTTCAGAAATTAACTCTATACTTTCATTTTTTTTAAAGATTCCTCCCTCTTCTGATTTTGCAGAATGGTTGTCTTCTCCGTAGTGATTTCTTTTCTCTTTCCCTGTGCCAGTAACAGCGACGTGCCCCAGTTCAGAATCAGCTCTTAAACTCGTTGGATCGGCCGACGCTGCGTCGCCCGAGCTCTTTGGCCCCACCCTATCGCACCCGCGCCGCCCAATTGATCCATTCATTTACTGATTCCGGGCTCGTCAACTCATAAGGTCATTAATCCCGTAAGTGTAATACATGTTTTACATCGGGAAGTAGAGGTGACCTTTCCCGTCTGGATGGCGGAAACCTGTGCCGACCTAGCATCGGCTAGAGGGATTTTCCCCAAGTAGGTATCTTTCACCATCGTGGTTCCACCTCCGCCGGGACAAGGAAGTTCTGACAGAGGTTCGAGTCCTGGCAGAGGTAAGATTTCCATCACTGGTTAGATAGCTAGGTCGAATTCAGGCTCGTAGGAGAATTCTAACGGCCGGTTGTAGTGATTGGTTGCATTCCTTGATTTATCCTCTCAACAAAAGGTAAATACGGGAGAAGTATCCTGACAAACGGGCAACGGAACGTGCATGATCTTTTCCTCATGTTCCTTGTTCTATCCTCACCCCTTACACAAACACTAACATGCACTACACTATCACACAGGCACAGAGACCAATCAGGAGCTTATAGCTTGCCCCGGCTGGGCCGGTGCCCTGTTGGTGGGAGATGCTTGGATGGGGAAAATCTCTCTCTCCTACTCGGTAGGACAGCGCCGGAAATCCCCATCCAGCGCGGGAAGATCATAGCCACATCACGTGATAAAACATGCACTACCCTTACGGGAAAATATCCTTACGCGTTGTCCTGCACGGAATAACTAACTAGTCAATCAATCAAGTAATCCAGGAATCCACCTATCGCTAGATAATTCTCACTAGTTAATTCACACACACTTAATTCGTCCCTAGTTAATTATCACTAGTTAATTCGCACACTTAATTCATCGCTAGATAATTATCACTATTTAATTAGCACACTTAATTCACCCCTAGTTAATTCACACACTTAATTCATCCTTAGTTAATTTGTACCATTAATTCACCCCCTAGATAATTATCACTAGTTAATTCACACACTTAATTCATCGGTAGATAATTATCACTAGTTCAGTAGGACACATAATTCATCCCTAGTGAATTTGCACCATTAATTCACCCCTAGTAAATCCACTCACTTAATTCATCCCTAGCGAATCGCCAGCTGATTGCGTGGTGCGTGCGCCAGGTGTACGTGCTGGCGCGCCAGGAGGTGCCGACGCTCAACTCGATCGAGCGCGTCAAGTTCAGCACCAAGGAGGGCACGCTCATCAAGCGCTGGTTCTCCGTCAAGGACGTGGAGAACGAGGCGCTGGTGCACGAGGCGACGCTGCGCCAGCGCGGCTGCCGCTTCCGCGACGGCGACGGCGACGCCCGCGCGCACGCGCTGCAGGTGTACCGCAAGTACTCGTACAGCGCCTGCATCACGCAGTGCCGCAAGGACGAGCAGCTGCGCCTCTGCAACTGCACCTCGCACCAGACGCCGCGCGCGCGTGAGCACACATTACCCCTTACGGCATGCTATGCGAACATTCACTCCGTACTTAATTCGCTCACTTAATTCATCCCTGGTTAATTATCACTACTTGATTCGCACACTTAATTCATCCCACGATAATGATCCCTAGTTAATTTGGACACTTAATGCACTCCGTAGTTAATTAACACACTTAATCATCCCTAGTTAATTATCACTAGTTGATTCGCACACTTAATTCATCCCTCGATAATGATCACTAGTTAATTTGGACACTTAATGCACTCCCTAGTTAATTAACACACTTAATTCAACCCTAGTTAGTCATCACGAGTTGATTCGCACACTTAATTCATCCCTCGATAATTATCACTAGTTAATTCGAAGACTTAATTCATTCCTAGAAAATTATCACTAGTTAATTAGCACACTTAATGCATTCCTAGATAATACATACATATAATACAACATAAGCATGGCGTTAACATAAAACTTAAGACTACATCCATAACCGGACTCATTCGCAATGCGTTCGCACTAGCATAACGCGTAAGACAGTAACTGAAAATCGAGAAACGAAATTGGAGTGAAGTCGATAGAAGAACTAACGCCATATGGGCCATGGACACAGTCGATACCTTGAAAACGATTCTCACATCCAACCAATGGTAAACCAGAATGTCTCACAGCCAATGGAAACTATTCTTTTGCTTACGTTAATGTTAGACATTGTAGATACTTCAGTCTATCACTTATGTTAAAGTTTGTGTTTACTTTTGCATTGTGAATGGGCCTTTAGGGTATTGCTACGGCATTCGCCTGGTGTTGATCAGAGAAGCCACGGAAAAAACACCGATTAGAACTGCCGACCGCTAGATATCGTTTCTAAACAGCGACTGGATATAGATGAAATAATTAATAAATACCAGAATATATGCGGAAATATTCGGCGAACTTTTAAAGATAAAACACGTAGAGATACTCTAATGACGATATATAAAGTAATGGCTGTTCAGTGTTCGGCTCTGTGGTTCGGAAGTGAATTCGGGACTCTGTGGGAGAAATATAAACAGGCGTTACAGTCTGCTGAAATGAAATTCTTGAGATTGTAAAAAAATGTACCACACTAGAAAAACTCATAAATAAGGAAATTCGAAAATAATTAAACATTCAAGCAGTAAATGACAAGGTACAATGTTACAGACTGGAATGGATACAACATGTGGAAAGAATGGAAGATACTTGCCTTTCAAAACAGGTGTTTAAGTATAAGCCTCAAGGCAGAAGAGATCCAGGTAGGCCCCTAAAAAGATGGAATTCTTATAAACCGGAACAGGTCATAGATCTATCCGTGAAGTGGAGAAGAAGAAGAAGAAGAAGAAGAAGAAGAAGAAGAAGAAGAAGAACAGCGACTGGATTCGACCTAGCTGCATTTACAACTGCTCTGGTCATGAGCGGACATATACGTTCTCTGGCGTCATCGCCTGGCGAGGTCGTCAAGCCGGCAGCGCGATGGCGATCTCCGACTTGACGATCGCGATCTCTCGCGGTGTCTCGCGGCATGAACTGATGTCAGTTCAGTTTCTGTGATCGGGATGTGCTAGGGTTTGAGATCCAGCGGCGGCAGGATTTTCGACACTAGCTAGATAGCTAGGTCCAATTCAATCGCTGTTTGGAGGAGAATTCTAGCTGATATGGCCGGCAGTGTTTCGTGCGGTCTCCGTTCAAAACCACTTCTCAGACCCGGCGCGAAGTAGCTGTCTTTTACCTTGACTGGTGTTCGGGTGTCTACGCCCCGCCGCGTATCGTCTTGGTTATGGTCTTTACCGTGCTCCCGGTGTCGCGTCCCAGCGGCCGCGCCTCGACGCCCTCCATGGCAGCGCGCTCGGACTGCGTTGCCCTCCACTCAGCAGCTGGCTTGCGCTGTTTTCACAGCGCGCGGCTGCCTCCACACGATCCAAGTGCAGCGCCTCCACGCGCGTGATTCGTCTTCTGATCAGCCACGTTTAAGAACGTACAGTCCCCCCTTCCATTTCAGCTAAAACAATTCTGCTGTGTTTACACAGTTCTGTTGCTCGCCTACATTAACTTGATTGATTCTCGGCCGATAAAATAATTTCAGTTCCTTCGTACATCTTCTCTCTCATGCGAATTTAATACAGTTTCGTACTACCTCAACTTGGCTCATTTAAACAAAGTTCCAACTTGTCATTCTAATTCGTGATTTCAGTTATCATTTCTCCTGTTTCTTAATTATTCTAACGTACTTTGCAGGATGGCTGTTCCAACCCAACATTTCCGTACGAGAAGAACAACTCCTACTGTTTCGAAATAGAACCTAACACAGCGTCTCGCAAAAGAAGGAGCTAACTCACACAACGGCATCTCACAAAAAAGGAAGTTCCGTTTCGTTTCCCGAGCTACTTTTTCGTCTGACTTTTTTCCTTAGCTAGGGGAAGCGAGAAGTCATTATCTCGCCGGCATGGAATCTCCAGTTGCTCCTACCCCCGAGAGTAGGTCGCATTGCTGTGGTCAGCAAATCATACATTGCGCTCTTACTCACCTCTCTGTTGAGCACGTCGCGAGATTCGAGTTCTTATGACTTCGACCAAATCTGTGGGAGACAAAACTGGGACTTTAGAAATATTACCGTACGGCACAATATATATATATATATATATATATATATATATATATATATATATAAATATATATATTTATATATATACACATACATACATACATATGTGTGTGTGTTAATCCATTTTATGTTATTATCTGTTTACAGGTCCCGAAGAAATATGTGACATGAAAGGTTTACTTTGCCTCAGTGCACATTACATGAGGTTATCCGTGCTGCGACACAAAGACAGCAAACAAAATCGTCTGTACTGCCCTTGCACACTTAGCTGTGAAGACCAAGAACTAAAGGACACTTATGGAACTTTGTCAGAGTAAGAACATTATTAAGAATTTAAATGTTGCGTGGGTTATTTGCAATACCCTACTAGCTTTCCGTTACAAATTTCTTGACAAATAGATATTCCTGACGTGTTGAGAGCATGGGTGTCTTTTTACAAAGTTATTAGGAAAATTCCATTTATGAAATAATTAGAAAGTACAACAGCTCCGTAAATTGAATTTCTTTGATCTTTATTTAGACATTGCGACTAAACTATCTCTGCACTTCAAATAGCACGAAGGAGAACATTAAACTTTGGTATCAATTACATTTACTCTTCAATAGTTTTGAGAGCTACCAAGTACAAAAAATGGAGGAAAATGTCTTCCTTATCCCTGAATTTGAAAACCTTGATGATGATAACAAACTTTATTTATTTATTTATTTATTTATTTATTTATTTATTTATTTATTTATTTATTTATTTATTTATTTAAATACACTTATCTTATTTCTATAGTTTCTGTCAGATGTGGTCGATCGTTTGGCGTTCGACAATACCTTACGATCGGTCTGCGGCGGCGTGGAATACTAGCAATGAACGTCTTTTGCAAAGTCATTCATTTAAAAATATATCCCCGTGCTTGAAAACAATGTGACATTATTTTTCTAGAGAAGGAAAATGTAAATAAGCTTTTCGTGTATTAACTCACGTCCTGCTCTATTACAATATAGGTACGCGATGGATGAAAATGTAACAACTCTTGGCATATTTCTTAAAAAAATAAAATATGAAAATATAAAATATATAATGAAAGTATAAAATTCAAGTGGTTATTTTTAATATGTTTTTCAGATCATCATTAGAAAATGTGTCAACTGTATACGTTATGTTGGACAGTTTACCAACTGTTCGTTTCAAGCGCCATGTGGTTCGAGGGAAATTGGACTTAGTTGGTACGTATTCCTTTCTCAGATTCACATTCTGAACGTCATCTTGCTATGAGGAGGACGTCCATTCCAGAGAAAAGCTGCTCGCGGAAGCAAATAGCATTGGTGTGTCTTACAGGGCAACAGTGCCAATAATTCGATATTTAATTCTTAATTAGTTCATAGTCTCGATTCAGTACGTTGGTAACAACCTTCAGGTCAGGGAGTGCCAGCACATTAACACTGGGATATCTACGTTTCCCATAAATACGCTCTACCCTCTCTACATTTTACTGTCTCTCTCTTCTCTACGTGTGGTTTCGTGTGCGCGAAACACTAGTTAGTTTCATGGATAGATAAAATCTCTGCGTTCTGTGTTAATAGCTGCAACTTAACAACTTTCATTATTTTCACAAAAGAAAGCTATCCGCATCTTTAGTTGCAGTATTGGCATAGTGACTTCTATTCTACAAATTGAAGTTGGTGCTAATAATATGGTAATCACTATTGTGCATGACTCTGGCCGCGGAAGCCTACGACTTCGGGAATCACTCTTGCGTATCTTCAGGTAGATTTTTTTGTGCCAACTTTATGGTACCAAAACCTAAAATCGCAAAAATAGTTACAACTCTTGTCTTCTGAGGTTCAGAATTAATTAATAACAGGTTAATTGAGAATAAACAAGTTTTTCGAAAACAAATGTAAATACATTTTTGTATTCGAACGTTTAAATCAGGAGGTTCGCCTCTAAAAAGGGCTGATATTTTTTTTAAGGATGATTATTAAAACCTCACACGGCAAAACAAAGTCAATTGACTTTTACGAAGGAAAATTCGTATTTACTGTTAATGTTCGTCTTTCAGTGTACATGGGAGGAACAACTGGTCTGCTTGTTGGTGCAAGTTTGTTGAGCTTTGTGGAAGTTCTGTATTATTTCACACTGCGAGTATGTGGCGGCTCGGATGATAAAAGCGCCAGCGCCTCTGGTGGCACAAAGACTGAATCAGCCCCGGCAAGCAGGACAATAGAAGTGTTCTCCACATCCAACTCTGTGTCCGGGCCAAGGGTTGAAATGGTGCCAGCAAACAAGGATTCATTTATGTATCAAAAAACCTCTACTCTGTACTGACTATTACACCAGAAAAATGCTAACTACGTAATCAGATTTTAAAGCTTTATCTTTGTCAAACGAGAATGAATTCCTGGTAATTTTATTCGGATTTCATTTTATAATAAGGACATGCAGTATTTAACTTTCGTAGTAAATAACTCTGACATTGTGTTAATCATATATTATTCAAATTAAATAATATATGTTACATTATCTTTAATTGTTACCGTGGGGTATACTGAATACATAACACTACAGCTCTGCACCATCCTAGATAAATACAGGAGGCGTGTGTCTAAATAAAGTAGTCTAAATAAGAAGCACGAACAAATGTTAGTACAAAATGTGTATACTTCAGATCTTCATGCTGAAAATATAAAATGCCACTTTCAGTCTTTCTTTTCATTTTATTTACTTACTACATTACGATATTATTAATATTTAGTGTTTCCAAACTCAAATTGGTTAATAAAAGCAAGGCACTGCTGCCCATAACTGTTCATTTAAATATCATGACATTTGGCCGATTAGAAAACTTATAACACTTTTTAAACGAAAGTCCTTACACTATTCTAATTGTCAATTTACAATTGAGCAAATATGTCATGATGCAATGAATGAATGCCGCCCACCATTGTGTCAATACAAAACAACGAATAAAACGTTAATTACATTCGTGGAACTGCATAATTATTTTTGTGACTTTTACTTTTATTCTTCTTTTTCAAGGGCCCACCCTTCCGCTCCTCCATTAAATCCCATTATGTTTTCCTTGTATATCAATGAAAAGCTTTTCCAGAAACGCACTTTCCAAACGTTTCCTCGCGTCTTTCAATCTCTGTCTTACCATCGTTTCAGCGAAACGAACTGCTCAACTGTCGTTTTAATGATTGATTTAATGGATTCGCAAGAACTAACACTAAACAACTTCTTGTTCAAAGTTGCTACATTAAACATTTGGCCAAAACGTTTGAAACTTCCTACGGCCTTCATAGCCATTCAAATACCAATCCAACTCCTTCCGTCCCTACGCCCTACCAACGAGTGTGATGTCTGGGAGTCCTTCATGGCGACTGACACAAACGATTCTCCCCACCTCTGCCCTTCCGAAAGCGACTGTACACAATCTCAGGGAATGGATTGTGGTTGGGGGAAGGAGAAAGGGTGGGAACGCACCTCACGCGCTGCGGGGGAGGCGGAGGGGGGAGTGAAAACAATTGACGCGCGTCGCCCGCGCCGCCGCCACTGCCACCGCTTCCACCCCATCACCCTCACCACATGCGCCACCACGACGGCTGTGGTCAACATCGCCACTGTCACCGCCAACGCCGCCGTGTCCACCCCGGTTCCACTCCCGCCGCCGCCGCCGCCTCCCCCACGTCTCCCACACCACTGACTTTAGCCTTCCCTTCCCTCAACTCTGCCACCACCTCACATCTCCAGCTTCGCCGCCGTCGCCTGTTATGCCTACGGCGCTCTTGCCACCTCCTTCCCCTCTGCACAACTCGGCGCCTGCCAGTCGTTCCCTAGCATCCCCCGCCCCATTGCCGTCACAACCAGCCGCCATCCTCACCCCCACCCCCTCATCCAACCCGGCTCCCGCCAGCGTCTCCTCCAACATTTCATCACCATCTCCCACGTTTCTTGCTCCAATCTCGCCACCACAGACATCTCGCCCCCGCCGCTGCAGTCCCCGTCTCCACCTCACCCCATCACCCAACTCCGCCCCCGACAGCGTCTCCTCCAACTTTTCACCACTATCTCCCACTCCAACCTCGCCAGCACAGACGTCTCGCCCCCGCCGCTGTAGTCTCCGTCGTCCCCACCTCCACTGGCGCCGCCGCCGCCGCCTCGGCCGGTGCCGGAGGGGTTGTTGGGAAATGCGTTATTTTCCGATGGCGAGATAAGGCGACGCCGGGAGGCGCGGCTGGAGGGCTGCTTCCGGGGGCGCGCGCAGTGAGGCGGAGGCGCGGGCGGGCGCACCTCGGGCCACGCGACGGCGCCCCGCGGCCATGGGCGACGCCGAGCGCGTGAGTACCTCACACACTCTGTAGAACAGCGGCCGTCCTCCTTCGGGGGCGGAATTCGCATCCTGGTCGGCGCATGTGGGGTTTGGGGTGAATGAAATGGATTTCTGACAATATTTGTCAGGGTTTGGTTCTCTTTCTAACAATCAGCCTCTGCTCCATCATATCTACGTCAGCACCCTCCATACATGAAAATCATTCACCCCAGATATTGAACCAAATTATTAACTTCGGCTATTATTATTATTATTATTATTATAATTATGTCTACATGTGGGGACTCAGGACGTAAGGCCTGCTCTTCCGCACAACCGCTTTAATGAATTTGCGTTTACAAAATTACACTTGGAGTCGTGTTCATAATAAAGATTTAAGTATGTTCGGGCATACATAGAACAGCTTAGTTAAACACTATAACTTAAGCCTTCTGCAACGAATATATTTGTACCGAAAGACAAATTCATTTCAAATACCGTGTGCTTAAAAACTCCTTTTTAACCAACAAATAACACTGTACCCTTCATCTCCGGAGTTGAGATTCAGTAAAATTCTTTTAAATAATAAGCAGAAATTATAATCATCGCAACAATATAAATTATTTAAAAGCTCTTGAAACACTGCCGGCCCCAGTGGTAAGAGAGTTAGCACAGCGGTTTCTTATAGTACCTCAGTTCGGGGATTTAATCTCGGCTAGAAGCTGTGAATGTTGGAACGACGGAAAATATTCGATGCCCTGTCGTACTTGTGACATGTAAAATAATGCTAGTGAAATGTCTAACAAAATCTAATAGCTTGATTGCAGTTTCCAAGCATGCCAATTGAATCTGTGATCATTAGTCCCATTAGTGTAGTGAGTTGAATCGCGGGAGGTAGTGGTGTCCTTCCCGCGCGGGCAGCGCCCCAGGCGGCACAAAATGTAAGCTCCCGACTGGTCCCCCGAAGTGTGTGGTAGTGTAGTGCATGTGAGTGTAAGTGTGTGGAAGTAAGGGGTGAGTATAGGACAAGGAAGAGGAAGGAAAGATCGCGTGCGGTGCGTGACCTTTTTGTTAGGGTACTGCTCCGGTATTCGCCTGGAATTAATTGGAGAAACCACGGAAACCCACCGATCAGAGCATCCGCCCGCAAGACTCACAGCAGCTGAATTAGGTGTCTAGCTCGCGTGCAAAATCCGCCACCGTCGGGAGTCGAACCCTAAAATCTCCCGGACGGAGACTCTGCAGCAGCAACGCTTGTTGTCACGCTCTGTCACTCGATGTGTCGCCCGTCTGCGCACCAACGGCATTCGCCCCGCAAACACCCGCCCTGCAAGAACCCGAAACCGGAAGCCCCGGTGCCCGGAAACGCTGTTCCGGATTCCGGAAGCGCTGTCCTGTCGAAGTCGCCCGCCCCCCCCCCACACACAGCGGAGGGGTGAAGGGCCGATGATGTAGCACTGGGAGGGGAAAAGCGACGTCGGTAAAAACAGCGGTGGACACGCTGTGCGGGCGGGGACCTTCGGGCGAATGGAGACTGCAGCATCAGTCCGTAGGTTGGTCGTGAGGTTGGACATAGGAACTTGGGAAGGAAGGATTAAACATGGTTCTTTTCTCTTTTTTAAAATAATGTTTAGGCTTTTGTCTGTACTATAGAGTAGGGATATCCAACGTGAAAGGCCTCAAGAGCCACAACTCAAACCTTTAATACAGTTGCAGGCCATATTTTCATTACTCGGGGCGATACACACCTACTTTTTTCCCGTATTGTTGATCTAGGCACTTTGCCCGGCTGATCTGAAACAGGAGAGGGGATAATTAAACCTTGCGTGATATCTGGCTGTTCCATGCGTAACACATTGGAATGATTTTTAATTTCTGAATTTACTGGAACAAACATTCTTAAATATAAACATGTCTATTTTTACATTAAAGGGCTCTTCGCTACGGCAGAGAGCGTGTGTAGGCGCGCTATGTTCTCTCTCGATGTGAATGCAAGGAACTTTCATTTTTGCATTCTTGGCTATCCGGGATGAGCCGCGTCTCGGTCAATTGTACTGACGTTTCGGCCATTATGCTGTGGCCTTCTTCAGAGCTATACATCAGTACAATTGACCGAGACGCGGTTCATCATGGATAGCCAAGAATGCATTGACTCCGGCTTCGGAAGCCTACGAACGCATATAACGACTTTAATTTTTGACAAACAACCTTTCGTGGGCGACAATAAATGGCACATCGGGTCGCCAGTTGGACAACCCTGCTGTAGAGCATGCAATACATAGTCTTACGCAGTAAATTCACGGATGCAAATGCGATCGATCGGGTCAGAGGATCTCTAGTTTTCATGTGAAGATAGGGAGGTGTGAGTGTGTATGTGTGTGTAATGTCTAGCGCATACACCATGCACCACAGGAACTCGCGATTTATTTGGTCCACCCATGTGAAATGTGTCCTGAATAAGGTGAGCTCTGGTAGATTTTCGCTGAGTTCTGGCTTTTCCATTGTCTCTCATTATTGTATTTCCGCATTATTATCATCAACGCCATTACTTACTCCTTCGATTACCGCTTTTGAACCTCATTGATCTGGGATGTTGAATGATCTGTAAACCGCAGTATATTGTAATAAATATAATTCAGGAAGTAGTATGATTCGTCCTGATAGACCATCAAACTTCAAATGCGAATTTGCTATACACTCGAACGTTTTATAACGAGATTGCACTAATCTAAACCTCACAAATTTTATTTCAGATTATGGAAACATTGTTTGATTGTTCTAAAAAAGTTACTTCCTTAAAGCCTCACTACCAGGACGAATGTTCGTTCTGTTATAACTGAACTCATATCTGAAGTGCCGGAGATTTTTAAAAGCCCTGACATTTTTTTTGCGAATGAGGGTAAAATGATTAACTGTTGAATAGGTATTGTAAAAAGTTTTTTTTACTCCGGTTTGTTTTCTCTGTATCAAAAGATTTTATTCGTCTCTGCTGACTGTGCTCGCATTTAAAGCAGCA